CTGTGCTTTTTTCAAGGCAAGCTAGTATCCTTATAATTGTTTTAAATTCTAATGGAGACATCTTACTTATATCTGCATTGATTAAACCCCTAGCTGTTATTTCTTCCTGTTCTTTCTTTTGGAGTGAATTCCTCCATCTTGTCATTATGTCCAGGAGAAAGAAAGAATGAGAGAAAGAAAGAAAAAAAGAAAGGAAGGAAGGAAGGAATAAAGAAAGAAAGAGGAAGTTAAATTGTGGATATGTTTTGGTCTGCTTGTTAAAAGAAGCTAGATCCAAAAAATAAAAAATTTTAAAAAATTTTTTTAAATAATTTTTTTTAAAAAAGAAAGAAAGCTAGATCATAGGTGGCATTTTAGTCTGCTGCTAAAAAAGCTAGGTCCAAAAAATATTAAAAAAAAATACAAACAATAAAAAAATAAAATATAAACTAAATTAATTTAATTAAATTTAAAATAACAATAAAAATAAAAAGGAGCCTGATCTTATTTCCTCTAGAGCTGAAGTTTTTTGTTTTTCTTTCTTCTTCTTCTTCTTTTTTTTTTTTTTTTTTAGAGCACTCTGCGTTTGGTAGACTTGGTGTGGACAAGGAGTTGTGCTGGTCTTCTGGGAGAGAGGCCTGTTACCCTGAAGGTCCGGTAGACTTGCTCTAGTGGAGATGTGCCTGCAGGGTGCAGGAGGGCGTGGCTTGGTGTAAGTGGCTCCAGGCTCCACTGGGTGGTGCTGTGTTGTTCCCTGAAGTCCATCAGTGCTGAGGGGCAGGATAAATATGGTGGTGCCCAGACTCTCTCCTCCCAAAGTGAGGAGTTTACACCCACCACCCTTCTCAAGCACCCATAGAAGAGCACACAATCATGTCTTCTGTGTCGCAAGCCTCCATCAGATCCCTGCCTTCACCCTGCCTGTGTCTGAGCTATCTGCCTGCCAGGTGGCCCTGCACTCCTGTGTTTTATCTCAGGTATGAGTGGGTTCCCAAACTCCAAATTTTAGAGATCTGTGCAAGCACCGATCTCTTGGGGGAGAATCTTGCTGCACTTTTTTGTCCGGAAATTGGCCTTGAGTTCTGTGCTAGTGAATGGGGCAGCTCAGTGGCCCCACCAGGTCCCTCACCCGTGGAGAGGTCATGCCCCCTTCTCCCAAATGAACTCCAAGCAGGGGAACTGCCTCTCTCCATGCAACCCAGAGGATCCTCAGACCATGCTCTCTACTCCCAGGTCTCCACCTTCCTTCCCCACCAGAGCACTGCCTTAAGTTTTTAGAAGTATCTTCTCTCTCATTGTTTTGTGTATAGTACAGGTGAGGAGGTCCTCAAAGAGTGAACTTCAGGCCATCTTAACCAGAAACCCCAAACTGCAGCTTCTTACTTTTCTGACTCTGGTCTGTGAGTGTGAATGAAGTAATATTAGCATTCATACCCCCCTTTTTCTGATTGTGAACTTTGGCCTCCCTACTCCACTTTCAATTTTCCCCAGGAATTTCTCCCAATGGGCATTTGGTATCACATGTGCTCACAAGGCAGCCTGCTCAAATCCAGCCACTCTGGTGCTCCTGGAGATGTTTACCATGTGACAGCCATTTAAAGACACCTCCTCCCACTGCTCCGCAGCTGATGTCCTCCAAAAACTCAAGACCCCTGAGCCCAAACAGTATCAGAGCCACCTGAATTCTCTGCAAAAGTGGAGAGAACATCGCCTCTCTTTTCAGAGAGCTCCAACCAGAGTTCAAGGGTAGAGCTGTAGAACATTCCCATGATTTTCTCCTCCTCTTTCCAGGTGCCATCCCAAGCGTGTCCTGCAAGGCTGTTGACCCAGAAAAGAGGCTAAGCTAAAATAAAGACAAAAGCATTTATTCGTGTTCTCAGAATTGTGATTCAGGGAAAACAGATATAGGCAGCAACCGAAATGGTGCCCTCCCAGGGAACAAGAGTCAAGGAATTTTAAAGACAAAAGGGAACACTTGCATATGTTGTTTCCAAAGAATTTTTATTGATTTTGGGGGCAGAAAATGGGCCTTGGCTGAGTATAATTGCTTGCTAAGGCTCTCACTCAGCAAAGTCTCTTACTGTAGCAAGTTGCAGGTGTCCAGGTGGACTCCTTAGAATATTTGTGGTTTGGTCAGGTTCAGAAGTTCATGGTTCTACCTGGTGAAATGTGCAGGATGCCCACCTCCTTCATGGCCTCCCAGCTCCATGGGAGGAGACAGAAGTGAAAGCCCTTGACGTAAGTGAAACCATTCCATTTCACCTTTCAAAAGGCAAACCAGCTCATGCAAACAGGTTCATCAGAAACTACTCCACTCCGAATCCCATGCTAGGTCACCTCCAGCATGTGCCTAAAACGGAACATTTAATTATAGCAGAGATTTTATCTAGTGGGTGGGCTGCGGTGATTTTTAAAATCTTTTTTTGTACTTTTATATGCTTTCTTATAATTAATGTTTATAAGTTTTATAATCATACAAAAATGTTATTGGGGGAAAAGTCTATCCTTCCCAAATGTTGGTTAGAAGAAAGGCATGCTCAAAAATGAATATTCACAATGTTTATCAATCTCCTTTTAAAAATATGCATTTTTTCCAGATACTAGCCAAAAAACTGGACTTTCATCTGTCAGAACATTGGCAAGTACCTCGTTGCTCTGTTGTTTTATATGTGTTACTGGGCTCCCCAGCAACCAGGACAGGGGCCTTGCTCTTTAGCTCGCTTCGTACAAGACCCTTTGTGATCTGACTCCTGCTCTCCGCTCCAGTCCTGCTTTCAAGCTTGTCCTTCCCCATTGTTTAGTTAGACCTGAACTGTTATAGCTTCCTGAACCTGGAATGTATTCCCATCACCAAGCCCTTGTGTTGCTCCGAATATGTCCTTTTGGCTTTCCACCTGGCAAACTCCTATCCACACTCTAAAACCCATCTCAGATCAGTCACTTCCACTGGGAAGCCCTCCTAAAGCTCTCTTCTTAGCACTTCAGTCTCTGCCTTGATCACGCTGGGTTATTTCACTCATCTCTGTAGACTCAGACAGCGCATGGCACATGGTGTTTCATAAATACTTGTCCAATGGAGGCAGGTTTGTTCATTCCACAGATGTGTATGGAGTGCCCACTTTGTACTCAGCACCGTGTTAATTTCCTGGGACTAAAATAAATAGCCAGAGACCTTGCCTTTTGGAGCTCACAGTCCAGTGGGCTAGAAAGAGAATCATGCACAGATAATCACTATTACAATAGGGCACAGGCAATTCTACCTCACCTCTTCTTCTTCCTCCTCTTCCTTAACCAGTCACAACTTGAAAGCATAATTCATACTTACCACTTATTTCTTCCAAAGAATTTTGCATTTCCTACATGTAGTTTCTGAAGTCACTTAATGGAAGTTTCTATTTCTCTCTTCCCTCTAGTATGAGGAACACTTATCTGATAGAGTAGCCCCCAAATTGCTGCTTCCCACGCAAGTGAGCACCCTGTGACAGGAGGTGTGCAAGTCAAGACGACAGACCACTAGGTCTGGTTGGGGTAGAGCAAAGGAGAGACTTAAGCTATAAAAAAAGGTTGGTTGAACTCTATGATCTTGCAGGTCTTTCCAATCCTGATTCTAAGGAAAACACGTCAACCCTAAAGCAAGATCATGGGGCTGGATTTCTCAAATGCTATCATCACAGCACAGGCTCTGGGATTGCTACCCCCAAAAGAGACAGAGATGTTTTTCATCATCTTTGACACTGTCTTAAATCATCTGGACCAGGGAATGATGTCTTTTGCCAAGTCAGAATGGAGAATTTTCAGGGGCGCCTGGGTGGCTCACTGGGTTAAAGCCTCTGCCTTCGGCTCAGGTCATGATCCCAGGGTCCTGGGATCGAGCCCCGCATCGGGCTCTCTGCTCGGCAGGGAGCCTGCTTCCTCATCTCTCTCTGCCTGCCTCTCTGCCTACTTGTGATCTCCATCTGTCAAATAGATAAATAAAATCTTAAGGAAAAAAAAAAGAGAGAATGGAGAATTTTCAGAGCTCCCCAGATCACTCCAGTTCTGCAGATCATACATGGCCTTGGGACCAGCCCAGGAAGAACTGGCTGAACCTGCAGGCAGAGGAGCATGAGTGACTGCAAAACGGCATCAAGTGGGCCCCTGATGACACTGGAGTCCAGACAGGACTGCATTCAAGGAGCCCTTTAAAGCATCCCACCAGTGGCCACATGATCGGAGAAATTTCTTCTGCCAACTTGTCTGCTTTAAGATAAAAACAAAACAGTTATCATTTCCCTCATTTTGGAAAGTAGCAAGAGACATCTAAAATCACCTGTCGGGGGTCCAAATCCCCACCAGACATCCAAGGTTATCTGCTTATGTCTTGCCAGACACGACAAAACGTAAAAAGCACTTCAAATTTTAGTCACAGTGTGACCTTATCCAACCATTTGTATAATTTCTCTTAGATTTTTGGCCAGTAGGATTCTCCGATCTCCCTCCCTCCCCAGGTCCCTTGAACTGGGAACCTCTTCCCAGGACTGTTCCGATATATTTTACCCAATTCGTTGGGACTGAGCTTTGCTTCTGTTAGTTAAATGCACAGTCTCCAGAGTCAGTCCAATATGGCTGAATGCCTGCCAAGCCATCTGGTCATGTCACTCACCTTTCAGAGTGCCACTCTCCCCTTTGGTGTAGTGACGGTAATAACCCCACCAAACAGGGCTGTGTTTTGTATTTAATTGAACACTATGTGTAAAGTCCTTAGCACAACGCATGGTTCCGGGTAAGTGCTTCAACCTTTCTGTTGGTAATCTACGTTATTGGGATTGATGAATTGCACTTGGCTCATTAAGGGCTGAGCAGAGCCGACTCTGACTTGATGGTGATGATGGTTTTTTCCACAGTGCATTTCTGGATTTCCTACCTGCTGGTCTCCTTGAAGGAGGGGAAATGGAAGCTATCCAGCCAGATGGAAGACTGCCAACATCTTTCCAGTGAAATCCTCGCCCCACCCTTGCACCAGGCTCTTTGTCGGGATTTCTCTGGACCAAGTCAGCCACTGGCCAGTACGTGGATGCCTGAGGGGTAGTGGGTGTGAGCAGCTCTTTAGGAGAGTCAGGAAGAGGAGGAGCTGGGGAGAGGTAAACTGTGGGCTTCACCCACAAGCTGCTGTACAGACCATAGCCTCTCTGGGACCTGTGGTCTAGAAGATAGGAGAAAGGGTGAGCAGGCCAGACGACCCAGCCTAGCCAGACTTTGAAAGCCGCAGAGGGTGAGTGACTCTTTCTCTAGCTTTCCATGCCAGTGACAAGGGAAAGGCAAGGGTTCTTTGCCTTCAGTGGGGGAACTACAGAGGATGACTGTCTGTCTGGGACAGAGGTCAGGAGACCTGAGCCTGCTCAGGTCTGCTCTTGCCTGGTTACCAGCAAGCTGTGCAATCTTGGGCATGTCACCAGACCTCTCTGGACCCGTTTTCACATCTGTAAAAGGAGGAATTGGCCTAGTCAGAGTAATGATATGTAGCATTTGTACAGTGCTTGTCAGTTGCACTTTCCCAAATAGCATCTCATTTGGTCATAGTAGCAGCCCTTGCTGGAAGGATGTTTGTCGCGTGCTGCAGATAAGCTCACCACAGGGCAGTGGGGCCAGTGATCAGGTAGGGCAGAGCAAGCCTGGACCTAAACTCCTGGTCTCCTGGGAAAATTCTGGCCTCTGCTGAGCACATTGTTCCCCTAGAGTTCTGAAATCTGAACATTCCTAGCTCCTTCTTGAGGACGTCTGTCTCCTTCAGTGCTACCTTCTTTTTCCCCCAGCACCCCCTTCCTCCCTTCTTCCCACCAGCTGTTCCAGCCTCTTTTCCACCAGCTTCCTAGAATTTCTTCTCCTTCTGCAGGCCTGAAACACTAACATTTCCAAGAGGGAAGTGCACACCAGCACACACCAGATAGCCCATCCCCACCCTCCCTGGGTTAGCACCTGCACGCAGCCTCTTTCCTAGAGTTCTCTCTGCTTTGTGGAATGCCTTCCTGGGGGTCCCCTGGGGTAAAGTAAGTGGGGCTGCTGAACCTCCAGGTGAGAGCCTGGACCTTCCAGCATGGGTCGCCAACATCCAGGGTTCTGGTTAAATGTGCAGATTCTGGGGCCTCACCCCAAAGTTGGTGAGCCAGAGTGGGCACTGTAGCAAGCTCTCCCTGCCTCTGACAGGCAGATGTCATAACTTGGGCACCGCTAGTCTTCCAACTACTGTGTTTAGACAGCAGCGGGGGTTGGCAGATAATAATTATAGTGAATTATCCTTGTATATCTGGAAAAAGTCCTTCCTGATAAAGGTGGGTTATTATTTTTTGAAGTAAATTCCAGGATTTAACTTGGTTATATTCTAGTTTGAGTGTTGCATCTCTACCAGTTACATATGTCTAGAATTTTCCTTTTCTTGTATGCTATCTGGATTGGGGAATGCTAGCTTTGTAAAATAAATTGGGAGTCTTACCATTATTATTACTTTTTTTTACCATCAGAGCTAGTTTGATATTGGGCTTATTCTTTGAAGATTGGGTAGAACTCAGCTATAAAAAAAAGCTGGGGCTGACATGGTCATAAGTGGTTGACATTTCACTGCCTTTCTTATTTCTGAAATGAATGTTAGTCCATTCGGATTGTTATGTCTTCTTGAAATCAACTCATTTCCCTGAGTTCACCAAACAAGTGCACTTGGATACTCATATGTCTGTAGTCCCTCCCTTTTTATTGCCTTCCTCAATATTAATGTTGTATTTTTCCCACTTGTTTTCTTTTTTTTTTTTTTTTAAGATTTTCTTTATTTACTTGACAGACAGAGATCACAAGTAGGCAGAGAGGCAGGCAGAGGGAGAGGGAGAAGCAGGCTCCCCACTGAGCAGAGCGCCTGATGCGGGATTTGATCCCAGGACCCTGAGATCATGACCTGAGCCAAAGGCAGAGGCTTTAACCCACTGAGTCACCCAGGCGCCCCCAACTTGTTTTCTTTAATTTGCTTTTCTACTTAGACTTTTTGAAGACCCAACTTCTTTTTTCACTGCACTGAAGCGTTATTAATAAACAATAAACTGAATACTTAACATGAACAATTTGATGAGTTTTTAACATATGGCTACATCTGCGAAACCATCATCATAATAAAAAATAAATGTATTATTTTGATCATTTTTAGTTTTCTAGTTCCTGAATTTCAGATTTTCTATTTAATCGTCTATACTTCTATTTGTGCATGTGGATATTATATTATTTTTTTCCTGGTTCCTTAAGTGGAAGTGAGCTTGTTTATTTTTAATTTTTATATATAGATAGTTAATTCTCATTATTCATGGCAATTATGTCCTCTAAATTCATTGCAAACAACGAATTAGGGAATTCTGGGCCATTGCTCCTCAGGAAAATGCAGGGTTAGATTCCTGCCAACATTTGGGCACAGAGTTTTGGTTTTTTTTAATCAAACAATTAATATAAAATCTTGTTTTTTGTGTGCTTCTGTTTAAAGACTCCTTTAGGGGCACCTGGGAGCTCAGTTGGTTAAGCATCTGCCTTTGGCTCAGATCATGATCCTAGAGTCCTGGGATCCAGCCCCACATCTGGCTACCTGGTCAGCTGGGGGTCTGCTTCTCCCTCTGACCCGCCACCTCTCGTGCTCTGTCTCTCTCTCTCACTCTCTGTCTTTCAAATAAATAAATAAAATCTTTTTTAAAAAGACTCCTTTAAAAATATAAATTGTTGATTTGTTAACATAGAACTCATAGTCAACAGTGCTAGGACTCATGTCTGAATAGAATTTACCTAATACATGTATTTTTCCCCTTAAGGCATATCGCAGCCTTTTTGTGCTTAGGGACACTAGCCAGCATCTCAACACCACTCTTGGGGCCATTTTAAACAGCAAAGTCATTGGCACAGCATAGAGATTATAATCAATAATATCGTAACAGTGTTACCTGGTAACAGACAGTAGCTACACTTATCATAAGCAAAACATAATTAGACATACACCTGAAACTGACGTAACATTGTGTGCCAACCACCCTTAAAAAAGTTTTGTTAAGAATGAAAAAAAAGAAAAAGAAAAAGAAAATCACCAACAAAAAGCACAAAAATTTAAAACTTGCAGCACTCACTAGATCACGCAAAGGACACTCGTTCTCAGTATGAGAGCTGAAACAAGAAGGCAGAGGGACCCCCGTTCAGCCTCAGCTGGGAACGTGTACATCAGGCAGCTGAAATTGATCAGGACTTTGCTCATGCCTGCAATGTCTGGGAAAATGCTGCAAGTATTGGTTTGGGGACTACTAATAAGTTTCAACAAACAGGTGAATTCACAAATATGGAATTGTTAGGTCCGTTATTAAATGAAACGAGACTGAGACAAAGTGAAAGTTATTTAAAGCTTTATTTTATGATAAGTATTAGAAGTCAGACTGACCGGCTAGGGCCGTCTCCCAAGAAAGCGACCACCCCCAGCTTACAGGCTCAAGAATTGACTGACTGACCGGTCAGGGCCGTCTCCGAAGAGAGCGACCCCTCCCCATCTTACAGGCTACCTTTTATTGGGTGAAACTGCAACCCATATCTTGGTATCTCAACCCACCGGGTTTGTGTGTCTCTTGCTGATTAGCTAGTTCCATCTGGTCTGGAGACTTGTTATTTAAGATTACCCCATACCAGGAACCGTTACAAACAGTACTTTTTGGGAAGGCTTAGTCAGTTGACATATTCAGTGTGAATAATAAGATCGTTGTCCTTCCCAAGATGGAGTCATTTAGGTTTGGGCAAGACCTTCTCACTGTTACAGACAGTACTTTGTACTGATTAGATGTCTCTATCTGGCCTGACTCGTCCTCGTATTCTGGGCTCTGTTATCAGAAACTAGCCGACTACATTTTACTGGTTTCCCGGACTTGTTTCTAAGTAAGTTTCTCTGGGGAGGAGAGTCAATTTAAGTTTACTGCACAAACAACAAAATGGCTATTTACCCAAGATGGAGTCGCTCTGGCTAAATAGGTCCTTACAGAATCTACAAATAATGAGGATCGATTGTAGCTAAATCATTTAAGGTTACATTGAACTCATGGGATACAGACAAAGCCATTCTCTCAGAGAAAAGTTTATGGCAACAGAAGCTATAAATCCTCACTCACAGCTTCATTTTTGGTTTGTTGGGTTCTCATAACACAGAAAGTGTCCTCATTTACCAGTAACCTCTGTTCAGGTCATTGTGTACTTAGCTCATCTGGGAGGCTGTCAGTTTGCTGATACCCTTGGAACATCATACAATGTGCCCTGGACCCAGAGAGTCAAGACCTGAGGTCTGAGTCCTGGTGAGGCTTGTACTAGACGTGTTCAAGCAGAGGATGGGGCATGATGGAAAACATACTGGCCTTGAATTCGAACTTTCTCTCTCTCTCATTGGCTGAATAAATTTCTCTAAAATACTCATCTGCTCTAAATCTATTTCCTCCCTATAAAATGATCCACCAAGCTGTGACAGAGACGAAGTGAAGTAGTGGGTGGGAAGTATTTGGAAAACAGTGAAGAGCTGTGTAAATGTGAGGCAGGAAATATTGTCATCATGTTAACATGATATGTTAACATGAGTGTGCCACTCTCTGACCTCAGGCCCACAGCCTGGGCTCCATCTCACTGGGACCCTATCATTCCAGAACATAAAGAGACACGAGTCCAGGCTGGCTGATGCCAGATGGAAGAAAGAGACAGGGACTTAGAGACGTAAAGAAGTATTCTTGGGGAGGCTCCTTTCTCATGGGCAAAGCAGGTCCAACCCATGGAAGGCCCAAGGACCTAGATAGAAGCAGGCATATGTCTTGGAACCACCAGAAGCCCTTGACCACCCCAAACCCACAAACCTGTCTCCTCTTCTTCCAGCACCATGAGTACCGAGGAGGACACCAAATGGCTTCAGTGGGTGACGCACCAGTTTGAGACCATTGCGGGGGAAGACCGGGAAATCAACCTACAAGAATTCAAAGCAGCTCTCAATGTGAAAGAGGCAAGTGTCCACTCCAGAAGTGGACCCTGTGCTCATAGCAGAGGAGCAGTCTGGCTCTCAGGGACAAAGTACCTCACAAGGAGGGAAAGATCGCCCCCCCCCGGGCATCCTCAGGGCTTCTAGCCTCACCCCTAAGCAGGATCCAAGCATTTTAGTCTCTGCTCCTGATGCCCTCCCATCCCTCTGGTAGCCGTGCCCCCTGGGGGCTTTGAAACAACATGTAAATTTGGGTGTCAGGAGCTCGCCAGATCTTAGGAAGTAGTTTTGGCCTCATGTTTTCCACCAGCCTCATGGGCAGATGTCCATAAGCCTCCTTCCAGGAAATAAGATTCTCAATGATTTGTATCCATGAAACTCCCACCCCCTCCCCAAAACCTCTCTCATTTCATAGGTTCTCTGCCCATTCCTGGAGAAGCCTGCATGCCCCACAAACAGGGGAGACATCGGTAGAGATCGGGGGGAGTGAGCCTGCAAATGTTAACTTCTCCCCACACGTTTCATGGGCTAGCATCTGGTGGTGGCCTGTGTCCTTGATAGGGGCGAGCCAATGAGCATCTGCATGTCTCTGCATGCCCCTCACTTGCTGGTAGCAGGGATACTGCTAAGAACTCTAAATGCCATGCCTCCTTCCGTAGTAAACATGGGGAGGGGGAAAAAAGACGTTCTGCCTAACAATACATTACACTCTTTTTTTTTTTTTTTTAAGATTTTATTTATTTATTTATTTGAGTGAGAGAGCACAAACAAGGGAGGGGGAGGGAGAAGCAGACTCCCTAGGACCCCAGGATTATGACCCCAGCCGAAGGCAGATGCTTAACTGACTGAGCCACCCAGGCGCCCCAATACATTACAACGATGCTGTAAATTATCTTAAGCTAAAGACCACTTGGGATGGTAGAGAGTGATAAAGGCATTAACCAGGGATCCGGGAAAGAAAGAGGAGAGCCGAGGCAGGGGTGACTGTCTACAACAGACTTCAACCCCCATTTCCTGCTTGTGAACCCTCATGGTTTCTTTAGGTCAAACACGAAGCCCTGCAGGCCCCTCTCCCTGCCTCCAGGCGAGCCTCTGGCCGGGCATACCTGGGGCACTGACCCCGCCTGTCTTAATTTCTGTGTTGGGTGTCTAACACCAGGCCTGGCAAGTGGGGGCTGTGCAGGACATGATTGCCGAATGAATGGATGAATGAATGAATGAATGAATGAGTGAATAACTGAATGCGTGAATAGAGTGAGTGAATAAATAGGAGCTTAAGAACGAGCCTTAAGTGTAAGCTCAGGCAGCCTAAGCAATAAGTTTAGGGACCATCCAGGTGTTCAAGGGCCATCTACCCTCTAAACCCTCCTGGTTCACCCCAAGGGGGATGAGACAGGACCCGGGAGGAGCCTGCAGGGGGAGACCTCGGTCTGACCCTTTTTTGCATGTTGAGGGGTCTGGACTGCAAGGCTGATGGGGGTGACGGGCACGTAGGGGACAGAGAGCCTGTACAAATGACCAAGCGCGAGGAGCCAGCAGGGGGCTTGAGGCCCAGACACAAGCCCCTCCTCACTGCTGGGATCTGAACAGTGCTTCCACCGGTATCTAAACTTGCTCTGGGCCAACGGGAGGGGCCGTGGACAACACCCCCTGGTGTGGTCAAGCGGGCGGTTCTCACCCCGTGCGCAAGCACCGCGGACGCGCCTGAAGCCCACCACCCCACAGCGCATGCACGCAACGCCCGCCGCACTTCAAAGCCGGGCCCCTCGGCCACCCAGTGCCCATCTCCCGCCCTTCTCTGGCCACAGCCCTTCTTTGCCGAGAGGTTCTTCACTCTGTTTGACTCGGATGGAAGTGGCACCATCACCCTCCAGGAGCTGCTGGAGGCGCTGACCCTGCTCATCCACGGCAACCCCATGGACAAACTCAAATTCCTCTTCCAGGTGTACGATGTCGACGGTAAGGGCTCCGGAGGGGCGGGAATGGTCTCAGTGGGAGGAGCAAAGGGAATCCACCCCCTTCAGTGACTTTTCTCCAGCCCAGGCTGATGGCTCGCTCCCTCTGTGTGTCCACCCCCTCTCCCTCCCACCTTCAACCCCTTTCTCCGGCTGACCACTGCCTCGCTTCTTGGAGAGGTGGCAAGAAGGGGCTACTCTGGCCCAGGAGACAAATGCCCTTAATTCGATCACCAGAAGCCTGAACTTATTTTGAAAGTTTGAAAAAAGAAATTGCTTTATTGCTTTTTCCTTATTATGATAAGTCCACCGTGAACATTTTAGATACTACAGTTCTTTTTTCTTTAAAGAAGAAAGCAAAAACCACCCATAACATTTTTCTGTACTGCCTTGTAATTGATCTCTCTGTCTCTATCTCTCTGTACACACCTCCCCCCGCATTTTTTTAAATGGGATTACGCTCTACTGACTGCCTTTTTTGGCTAAACAACATACACATTTGTTCGTGTAAGACTATATTGCTTTCTAACATAATTTTTACTGTAGCAAAATATACCTAACATTAAATTTACCACTTTAACCAATTTTTTAAAACTTTAACCATGTTTTAAGTGTCAGTGCAACAGCGTTCAGTGCATTCACATTGTTGGGCAACCCACCACCATCCACCCAGAGAACTTTTTCATCTTTCCAAACTGAAACTCTATACCCACTCAGGTTTGGAATCTCAGTACAATTAGCCACGGGGAGCCACTAAAGAGTGTTGAGTAGGGAATTCCCTGGGCTGGATTTGCATCCTGAAAAGTTAAACCTCGATGCAGGCCTGCTCCTGGGCAGGGCCCTCTGGCCTATGGGGTTTCTTAACTCCCAGTCCCACCTGACTCAGTCTAGCCAGACCTCATTCCTGGATCCCACTCCCCAAATTGGCCCCTTTCCCATAGTACATAGGGAGCTGACCACACCAAGTCTCCATGGGACAGTCCTCCTTGATTGCTTTCTGACCACCAAGCTTTGCTCACTCCTGAGAGGTTGATTTTTGATGGGAGAAGCAACACATTCACCTTCTCCTTGCAGACTTTTGGGAGGGGTGGGGAGGCAGTACAGGGCAGGTGAAAGGCAGGAACTAGAGAGCATTCCCTTCCAGTGGCTTCTGTTTTCTCTGAGAGCCAGGCAGGGATTGGATGCACATGGAGGAGAGAAGTGATCCTGTAGGCAGTAGGAGAATTACCTTACCAGAGAATCAGGATAGGGTTTCTGGGCAAGTTGAAGGCCTTGCTGTGGCTGAGGATCAAACCTTCCTGCTCTCTTGAGTGCTTTTCCCCCAAGAATGTTCTATCAGCTGCCCTGGTGCAGGAAGGGAAAGGATAGGTGGCTAGATTCACTCAGGAATGGGATATGTTTAGGTCACTAGAATAGAAGGACAGCGGGATGAGGAAGAGGAATGTGGGTATGAGAGTAATAGTGAAGGGGACCCTGGATTTGAAACTAGCCAAGGAGTGAATAAAGTTGAATGGACCAGAGGGTGTGAAGGCACAGGGGAGGGACTCTGGATGCAGTTAGAGACCTGTGGCATAGTGGCTCTTGGCTAGGAAACCTGAAGTATGGCAGGCATGCTGGAGAGCAATACATGAGACTGCACTGTCATGTGATTACAGACTTTGGCTTGGCCTTTATGATGATTAAAATACCAATAAGACTTTCCATTTATATGCAGCTGCCTTTTTCCAGATACTACAGTAAGTACTTTATAATGATCTGTTATCCTTGAACCAGTTCTGAGAGGGAAGGAATATTATCCCCATTTTATAGATGAGCAAAGTAAGGTTCACTACTCCAAAGGATTTATAGCCTACCATCACAGTAAGGGGCAGAAACATGAAGCCACCTCATGTGTATGTGCATCCAAATCAGGCCAAGAACTCATTAATCATGTGCCCTGCTGTTCATGCAGAGTGGAAAAATACACAGAAAAAAAAAGGCTGTCTAAGCTCAGTACTTAGAAAGGAGGCTGCAGATTCTGGAGAAAGGCATGCACTGAAGCTAAGATTCTCCATGCTTGGGGAGGAGTTTCTCTCCACGAAGCTGGGCAGTGGGGAGCCATGGAAGGTTTCTGAACTGAGGATGACATTATGTACTTTGATCGCCTGATCTACACCCGGAAAGGGACTTGGTTGGGAGAAAACTGGAGGTGGGCGAACAGGGAAAGCTCATCTTTCCATGCAATATTTGGGCAGGCAGGGGGAATCTGCAGGTAGAGAGTAGGGTCCGGGGCAAGCTCCCACTCGGCTTCGATCCCCACTTGGGACAGGCAGCGAGTCCATCGACGTGGATGAGCTGCGCACCGTGCTGCAGTCATGCATGCGCGAGAGCGCCATCTCGCTGCCGGACGAGAAGCTGAACCAGCTGACGCTGGCGCTCTTCGAGTCCGCCGACAAAGACTGCAACGGCGCCATCACCTTCGACGAGCTCCGGGACGAACTGCAGCGCTTCCCCGGGGTCATGGAGAACCTGACCATCAGGTGCGGTGAGGCTAGATTCCAGGGGCGCAGAGCCGCGCGAAAGCTCCGGGGATCCCTCGGCCCCGCCCCACTCCGGCCGCGCCCCCACTCCGGCCCCGCCCCACCCAGTTTCTTATAGCCGACAAAGGCCAGTTCTGCTGGGTGCTCATATCGGGTCTCGGATTTACGGTGTCTTTTCAGAATCTTCACAGTATTAAGCACCTACAGTGGGCTGGGCATTTTTACAAATATGCCAGTGCGTTTTATAGTAATGGAAAGGAAATTAGTGACCGCACCTGAAGTAACTTACCGAGGATCACACCTATAATTAGCAGACATTTGTTCAACTTGGTCAAGCAGGCACTGTTAATTTATACGTAATTTATGCCAATAAACAAATGCATCAACTAGAGAAGTGCTAAGTAGGAAAGAGCTGCGGAGGAGAATAAAGTAGCCGGGGTGTTCCAGGCTCCAAAAAGTGCCACTTTTATGGTTCATTCTTTGTGTATTAGCTTACTCGTGGGTTATTTACCACAACATATCTCAGAATTTTCCATCCTTTTCAATTGCCTCCCCCCACCCCCCACCCCCAGTTGGTAGGTAAGGGAAGTAATAGAAGCAGACGTGATTGTGGCATCAGGCAGTTGGGAGTTCCATCCTGGCTTTGCCTGCTATGTGACTCTGAGCAAGTCGCTCGACCTCTCTGTGTTCTGGTATAAAGGGAAGCCGGCCGCCGGCCAGAAGGATCTAAAGAGTTGGTCGGTTACAGAGGGCGTGGGGTCTCTAGGTTGCCGCTGGGGGGCTGCCCGCCACACCCCGTGAGGATTCTCCCTCCGCCCCGCGCCGGGCGGGTCCCTCTGAGCAGAGCCCCTCTCTCGCAGCGCCGCCCACTGGCTGACGCCCCCCGCAGCCCAGCCGCGCCGGCGGCGTCCCCGCCTTCTGACCTCCGCCTACTGGCACAACCACCGCAGCCACCTCCTCTGCCTGACCGCCTACGCGGTCCTCCACGTGTTGCTCTTCGCGCTGGCAGCCAGCGAGCACCGGGCCCGCGGCCCCAGCGTCATGGTGGCCAAGGGCTGCGGCCAGTGCCTCAACTTCGACTGCAGCTTCATCGCGGTAGGACTGGGGGGCACAATGCCCAGGGAAGCAGGGTGAAGGGGTGAGGTTGCTGGGCGATGCTGATATAAGCTCCTCATAGCCCAAGGGACCCACACGTGGAGTCCTGGAGTGCCAGGGCAGGAGGGCTCCTCAGAAGTCAGCTGGATCAATCAATATTCATTGGACACTGGGACCCAGAGAGGGGCAGTGACTTGTCCATAGTCACACAGCCTGTAAAACACAGCCAGCATTTTTGTGCACTTACCATGTACAGTCAGGGTGCTAGGCCCTCTGCTTTTGATGTTCACAACAACCTAGGTGGCCCCAGGGCAGGTGGACAGCAGACAGAGAACAAAAAACCCTTCCACTGACCCAATACCTGCTCATTTACTTATAATTATATGCATGCCCTATTATCATTAGCCATTAGACTTACAGAACACAATAAGGCAAGAGTCATCTTAATGATCAGGAATGTACATCTTTAGTTCAGATACTCTTCTTGATAATGTCAGCGTCTTAGGTGGGTTTTATTTTTATCCTCGGGACTGGCCACATACCAAGAGTCAGAGTCCCATGACTCATCTGCTTGGTCATTCGCATTAGGAACACTGCTTTCAGTCAGTACTTTCTCCGCAGGGAATCTTGTCTTTCCTGTGAGAGGTAGTTTAACTTGGTTAAAACCAGACAACATCATCTACAAGTCTATCTGGGCACACATATATTGAAAGCAAATGAGCAGGAAGGGAACCCTGGTCTCAAGCCCCTTTGGAGAACCTGGTCTTCCTCCAGGACACCTTGAGAACTAGACGTAACACGTGCCTGTCTGACACACAGACTAAATGAGGGCACCGTGTCGATGCGGGTATTAAATGTTAGCAAAAGCTTCTGTGCTTCTCGTGTGTTTAGGTGAAAGTAATAACAGCAGCCATTCTGTAACATTTGTTCTCCCTGAGCTGATTCCGGAGACCGTGCTTTGGACACCTCAGCTGCGGACCTAGGGGAGCAGCGAAGGCTTGGGGGCAGGGGAGATGGTGAAGGCCTTCCCCACGCCCCAGCCTGCTCAGGAGGCACAGCCAGCTCAGAGGGAGATGGGGAGATGGCTGCTGGGGAAGGGAGACTGGGGCGGAGGGAGAGCCAGGGGGGGCTCTCTGCTGCTCTGTCCAGGTGCTGATGCTGAGGCGGTGCCTGACATGGCTGCGGGCTACCTGGCTGGCTCAGGTCCTGCCACTGGACCGGAACATCCAGTTCCACCAGCTTATGGGCTACGTGGTGGTTGTGCTCTCCCTGGTGCACACTGTGGCTCACGTTGTGAACTTCGGTGAGTGGCCTGGGGCTGGGGGAGAGGACGTGGGTGGGCCTTTCCCCAGCCCCCAGCCCAGGACATGGGGCTCAGCCCCAGTGTGTCCTGCAGGCCCAGTGAGTGGGGAGGGGGTGTCCTGTACCAGCCAGTGGTCTGGCTGGAAGTCTCACCCATGTGGGTGTCTGATGGGGGGGTGGGTTCCCAAAAAGAAAGGTGGAGAGGAAAGAGGTTGTCTTGTGCTCATCTCCAGCGCTTCAGGCTCAGTCCGAGGACAGCCCCTTCCGGTTCTGGGAGCTGCTGCTCACCACCAGGCCTGGCATTGGCTGGGTCTATGGCTCAGCCTCCCCGACCGGTGTGGCTCTGTTGCTGCTGCTGGTCCTCATGTTTGCCTGCTCCAGCTCCTGCATCCGGAGGAGTGGCCACTTTGAGGTGTCCAGCCCTTCCCCTTGGCTCTCCCCAGCTGGGCTCCCCTCTTCATTCCATGCCATGTCCCCTCGCATTTACTCCAGAGCCCAGGCAGTGCCCAGGCTGGTCTGCATATTATGTGCATGTGCTCTGGGGTCTGTCACTGGGCTGTAGTGTATGTCTGCCAAGTGGAAGATATTTGGCTCTGAAAGATTCAGCCTTTTTGCCAGCCTGCCCAAACTGGATTAGACCAGGCTCAAGGAGAGGAAGGAGCACAGACTTGCTCCGCTTCCTCATCTATAAAGTGGACCTATAGTTCTCTACCTATGAAGTTATTTTAGGAATTAAATGAGATGACATATGGGAAGCCCCTACTATTCACCCCAACACGTTAGTTCCATTTTCATTCCCCTCTGTGTAGTGTCCTCAAGATGCAGGAGGTCACAGATTTGGTTTGGAGCCCCCTGGACTAATCTGGTCACATCAGATAGACACATACAGAGCCCCAGCAGCAATCCTTTGATGTGGGCCTCCACATCCTCATTTGGCCAATGAGGAGTCTGACACTAAGACAAATAATCTCGCAGCCCACAATAGCAGGCGTTCAAACTCAGGGCTCCGTTCTTTCTTCTCCACACCCAGGAAATTACTTTCTTTTCTTCCCCCTGAAAATGGGTCAATGTCATAGGGACATTGATGCTGATAAGCGCTTTGAGGGCACTCCACTCTGGCCAGGCTATCCCTAGGCAGATGTTTCAGATGTTTGCTGCGAGTGTTAGGAGCCCTTATATTAAGATCCCTGGGCCAAGCCCCCAGAATAAAGAAACCCCAAAGCTTCCCATCCCCAGCCTCCTACCCAGCTCTGTCTCCAGGAGAGGGTGTATATGACCGAGGCTCTGGGTCTGCCCTGGCTTTGAGGTTGTCTCTGAGCTCTGGCGCTGTTCCACCCTAGCCAGGTCTTGAGCTCTGGAAGCTTACCACTCCCTCCCTCCTCACCCTCACAGGTGTTCTACTGGACCCATCTGTCTTACCTCCCCATGTGGATTCTGCTCATTTTGCACGGGCCCAACTTCTGGAAGTGGCTGCTGGTCCCTGGCATCCTGTTCTTCCTGGAGAAGATCATTGGGCTAGCAATATCCCATATGGGAGCCCTTTGCATCGTGGAAGTCAATCTCCTTCCCTCCAAGGTGCGAAGGGGAGTTGCAGGTGGAGGGCGCAGCAGCTGGATACCCTGTTAGACTCGCAAGGAGATAGGGACCAGCATAGCTACAGCCCCTGCCCAGCAGAGGAGACGAGCAAAGTCTGGGATCCAGTCTGGCCTTCAGGAGTGACACCTGAGGCAGAGGAATGACAGGTAGTCAGGACACTGCTTCAGACCAGCTCACAAAGCATATTAAGAACCTGCAAGTTGCCAGGCCCTGTGTGAGGTAGCAGAGACACAACGATGGCTCGGGTACTGTCCTGCTTGACCCCTAGGTTACAGGGCAGGGCTGTGCTGGTGAGAGTAGAAGGTCAGGATGTGGGAAACTATCCTTGAGCTGTCTGAGAAGCCTCCAGAAGGAGGAAGGAGTTGCCACATCAGGGTTCTGAGAGACGAGCAAGAGTTTGCTGCACAGACATGGAAGGGTACTCCCAGAGAAGGAACAGCACCAGCAAAGGCACCGGGTTGTGAGTAATGTAATTTGTGAGTAATGTAATTTGGCACAGCTGGAGCCAGAATGCCAGGAAGAAGGGGTGGGTGGGGCCTGGTGGGCCAGGAGGCTCCACATCTTGCAGGCAATGGGGAACCCCTGAGCAGGCTGGTAGGGAGGGGGCAAGGAGTCATATTAGGTTGGGTCTTTATTCCAGCCAGATTTCTGCAGTCGCTCTGTGGGAGATAAGATAGCTTGGTGAGGACTTTTGGGAGGTTATTGCACGTATGCAGATGAGAGCTCATGAGGGCCTTCACCTTAAATGGGGGCTGTGGGGTGGGGGTGGGGCGGCCTATCACAGAAAAGCTCAAGAGGTCACCGGGTGCATTCGGGGTGGGAGAGAGGAAGGAGCCCAGGACCTCTCTCAGGTGTCTGAGTGACAGGGCCATTTGTGGGGAAAGGGAAGGCAGTTCCAGGTGGGCTCACTTCCAGGCACTTGAGTGTGAGGTGGCCGTGGAGAGTGAGGGTTTTTATATCAAGGCTCTGGCCTCAGACAGTGTGATGAGATTTGCATCCCATAGTTTGCTCACTGGTGGGCTTGTGCAAGCTCATTAGCCATGCTGAGCCTTAGCTTCCCATCTATAAAGTGGAGAAAGAATGGCATCCATGTCTGAGAATGGCCATGAGGACCAGAGATCATACTTTCCGTGCTTCACACAGATCTGGCACCCAGTGAATGCTCAGTGAGCCAAAGCTGTGGTCCAAGAGGGTGTCATTCTCCCAGGGGAGATGCCCATGAGTGGCTGGAATCCCAGCCAAATGCTACAGAAGTTCCTAGCAAAGGGCTAGAGCTGTCAGGGGTTTACAGAGAAGGGGCCATTAAAAGCTGTGTTTACCCCCTAAGAAGTGGGATCAAGCTATGAGCCTCACTTCAGACACATCTCAGCTTTCCCACTCTCTGATCACAGCCCGCCCCCAGCCTGGCAGAGGGGTGCAGGGTGAGCCCCACTCAGGCACGGGAGGGTCTCGAGTCCGGGTCTGCCTGGGTAGTGGTGGAGGAGGATGGCCTGGCCTTTGACCTCTTGCCCAGGGGGAGCCCCTGGCAGTTTTGCCTGCACGGATGACCCTGACCTTCTTCTCTCCCCAGGTCACCCATCTCCTCATTGAGAGGCCCCCTCTCTTCCACTACAGGCCAGGCGACTACTTGTACCTGAACGTCCCCAGCATCGCACGCTACGAGTGGCATCCTTTCACCATCAGCAGCGCTCCAGAGCAGAAAGGTATGGGGTTCTGCAGGGCATCAGGTGCAGGCTGGGAACCAGGAAAATGGGAGTGAACAAGACCAGAGACCCCCAGTCTCGCCTTCCAAAAGCTCCCTTCAAAACCAGGAAGCAGATGCCCAAACACTTACTGACTGGGCAGGCCAGGGCTGGACGAGCTGCCATGAAGATCACATGAGGGCCAGTCATTTCCCCCCGTCCCTGTGGAGCCTCAGGGCAGCAGAATCCCTCGAATCCTTCTTCCCCATCCCTGGACCACAACCATTTCTCTCTGGCTCCCCAGCACCCACAGAACTGCTCAGCTCACCCTTCCTCCGCTCAGTGGACTTCTGGTTCCCAGCCATGTGTGTGCCTGCTTCCAGTCCTGGGCTGTCATCAGAGCCAGCTCCTGGACCTCTGCCCTCTTCCTAGGCCAGAGATCGGCCTTTCTGCCTTAAGTGGCACCTCTGGCAGGGAACACCTTGCATGACCTACGACAGCGAGACCCTTGCTCAACTCCATGAAGGGTAAAGGGTGCTGGTTGCCTGTTTTCTCTGGCCCATCCATATTAAAAGCTTTAGTTCTACTCAGGAAGCCTCCCAGGGAAACCTAGTGCCCACCGTTCAGGGTGCAGCCCCAGGTTAAGGGTTCCCCATGTGAGACTGCCCACCACCTGCCCTGAGTGGTGGCTCACATGTACCACGAGGCAGAGGTGGGGGTGCTGGCAGGAGAGGGAAGGTTGTTTTCTTCCAAGTTTTCTTTCCTGTTCTGTTTCTCAAGAAGATGCCTGCTCTCAGAAAAGTCAGACAATATAGAAATATGTACAGAAGAAAATTTAAATTCCTCAAATAATTCCATCCAAAGAAAGCCATTGTCAGTCTTTTGGTGATCTGTCTTAATGTTTCTTTCTTTCTTTTTTTTTTTTTTTTAAGATTTTATTTATTTGAGAGAGAGAGCACAAGCAGCTCTTGGAGAGCGGCAGGCAAAGGGAAAGGGAGAAGCAGGTTCTCTGCTGAGCAGGGTGCCTGATGCGGGGCTCGATTCCAGGAACCCGGTATCATGACCTGAGCTGAAGGCAGAGGCTTAACCGACTGAGCCACCCAGGCGACCCTGTATTACTATTTCTATGTGGCTCTATTGGTGCAGAGAGAATTTTGTCTACATGGATCGCACTGTTCACACTGTTTTGCAGTCCACTTTTTCTCCATGCACAGAATGTCTTTGAAGGTCTTTGCATATCCGTTCTTTTAAAATAAGAGCTTTCCTCTGTGGCTGCGTGGTATTCTAGTATACTGATACTAGTGTGATTATAAGGACTGTGTGCACTATACGGAGGCGTCATTGATCAAACCCCTTCTCCAAGGGCTTTCTTCAGGGTTTCAGCTTGGAATCTGCCATCTCCTGGGCCCCAAGTCACCTTGCTCTAATGTTGTGGATTCTCTCTTGTGCCCTTCAGCGGAGGAGAAGCTGCCCCATGCTGCCTTCTATCAGTCATCCACTCCGCAGAGCACCTGAATAAGCCCCTGTTCCATCCCAGGCACTGGGCACAATGAAAGCCATTGGTCCCACCACAGCCTGAACACCTCCAGTGTGCAGAGCCATTGATGGGCCCCTGGTTGAATGTGGGAGGGAGTGGTCCTTGCCATGGGGAGACCCTGGCCTGATAGAGGAGGCAGGGCCCGCACCTCCAGGGAGCTTCCCTGTCTTGGCAGAGGAGACTGAACCCTTGCTTTGTAGGCTTACGTTGACTCCATGGATCTCATGCTGGAGAGATCAGATTTCCAAGTCCCGGGGCTGTGACTCTGGTTGGGACTCAAGGAAGGACATTCCGTCTGGGACTTGAGCACTTAATGCCCAGCTCCAGTCCCTGGGGTGGGACACGTCTGCTCCCTGCTGGAGGAGCCAGTGCTGAGCCCCCCTCCCTCCCCCCTTGCTCAGACACCATCTGGCTACATGTCCGGTCCGAAGGCCAGTGGACAAACAGGCTATATGAATCGTTCAAGATGTTGTGCCCCATGGACTGTGGCTCTAGACAGCTGTCAAGGAGTCTGAGGAGGAGAAGGAGCCAGAGGGAGCCCCAGGTAAGTGGCTTTGGGGGAGGAAGGGTCCACCGTGGAGACAAACCCCACAGGGACCATGTTGCTATCTTCTTGGCTGGGGAGCATCCATCCCTGGGCAGCTGCTGTATATACCCGCTGAACAGCCACACAGGGTGAACCAGCTGTGAACTAACTATGTGATCCAAGAGCCTGATGTCCTCCCCCAGGACCCCAGGTCCTCCCCAGGCCTCCTTCAGAAGCCGGGGGGCAATGGAAAGGGAGAGGAAATTGAGATCAGAGAAACCTGCCTCCATGTCTCTGCTCCAGCACGTTCTAACTATACGGCCTTGCACACACTTTGGCCTCACCAAGCTTTAGCGTATTCATCAACGAACTGGAGGAGGCCCCCATCCTTGGCCTCCCTTGCTCACACGATTCTTTTAAAGGACCGTGGATGGAATGGATGCAGGTAAAGTACTGAGCTGACAGGACAGCAGGGTCCCCATGGACCCCCCATCGTCCCCGTCAGCAGCAGCAGTGGAGCCATTGTTATCTTCTGAGCCCTGATGAAACTCACAAAGCCGGCAAGTTGCCAGTGTCTGGAATGAATGCAGGCTCTGGGAGGTTTTGGAGGAATACAGCGAGATCACAGTAAAAAAAAGACAAAGGAGGCTGAAGGTATCTGGACACAAACCTAGTAGACAATACCACTCAGCTGGGAGACGTGTTAATATGGGAAAACCCTGCCCAGGGTCAAAGGAAAAGAAGTCCCAGGCCTGGCTCAGCCCTGCCATGCCCTTGTGGAACTTAAAGTCCAGGCAAGAAAATGAGGCAGAATCCTGCCAGTCCAGACCAGAGGCAGGCATCCCTCCCGAAAGATGCAAAGCTTTGGGAAATGAAGGGATAGGTAGAAACAAGCAGGACGTTCTCTGGACAGAGGAAGCTGGCTTTCCAAACCAGGTGACTCCTGCACCTCAGGAAACAGTGAATAGATTCATTAAAGGCTGTGTTTCTTTGGGACCTCAGGCACCACCACTGAAGAATAAATTGGCACGATCTTTCTGACACGTGGTCTGGCCACACGTGTCAGCCTCTTAAATATGTGGACCCACTGGCCCCGCATTTCCATTTTTAGGACTAGTTAATTGGAGAGTTGCACAGGAAGTGCATTAATCACCGTTTTCATTCATTCATTGAGCAAATATTTATTGAGCACAGCACCTATGGTTTTCTAAGGACTGTTCTAGGTGCTGAGGATCTGTCAGTAAGCAAAACTGAACGGTCCCTACTTACCTTCTGGCAGGAGAGACAGACAATAAACAAACAAAATACATGCATAATGTGTCAAGTGAAAATAAATGCTATGAAGAAAAATAAATCGGGGGAGAGGGATAGAGACGGGAAAGGTGCTATTTTATATGTGGTGGTTGTTAACAAAAATGAGAAAATGGAAATACTTGAAATGCCCAACAATAGGGGTGTAGCTAAATAAATCACTGGTCATCCTTTTCAGGGAATAGTAAGTCCCTTAAAAAAGATTATGTAACTGCATATGCATTAGCATGGAAAACTAGTCAAATATACTAAGTGGAAAAGGCAGGTTAGAAAGCGGTATGTTTCATTTATGCAAGAGTGTGTGCATGCAACCGTGTGTGTATGTGTGTGTGTGTGTGTGTGTGTGTGTGTGTGTTTAAGTAAGTAAAAGTCTGGAAGGACCTAGAAAAATGTTTAGAGGCGCTATTCCGCTTTATTCAGGGTACTTTTTCACTTTATTCTTGCACGTACTATAACATGGGAATCTCTACAAACTAGCATGTATTGATTTCATGATTTAAATAACAAAGCAGTTTCCACTTTGAAACCAAACAGAGCTTGCCCAGCCAGCCCATGCATTCGGGAACCTCGGCACAGGGAGCAGTGGCCTTCAGCAGGGACGTCACTGTGGAGCTGACCTCCTACATGCCCAAGGGAACTCCACAGCAGGGAGACAAAGGCCTGGTAGGCACAGGGACCGAGGAAGGGGCTCCAGCCCAGCGGGGAGCCCCAGCCCATCTGGGCCCAGTAAGGCTGCGGAAGCTGGGGCTGGAGGCGGGAAGCTGGGGCTGGAGGCGGGAAGCTGGGGTGTTTTCCTCCCAGGGGTGGTGAGTCCTTGGAACTCGGGAGAGAGATCCTTAAGGGCAAGCCACACACAGGAAATGTGCAGGACACGGTGTTCCCATAACCAGGCACTGGCGCACCCCCTTCAGAACTTTTGCCAGTCACTCCCCACTGAGAATCTTTCCAACCTAGCATCTCTCTTTACTCCCCAACAACACTTTCAACTTCATTGTATCTAAAAGGCTGCTTGAGATGGCTGCTTTAATGGCAAACTAGTAGCATGTACCATCATTGGAAGATAACTCTAGAAGTAAAATCAATAAAAACCCATGTGACTCCATTCTTGCCCGATGTTCCCGCCTGCTCGTGCTCCAAGCCTGAAGCTGAGCTCCACTCCTCCTCTTTCTCTCTTGGACTCTCTTTCATACTCTTTCTCTTTCTCACTTTGTAAAATTAAAAAAAAAAAAAAAAAAAAAAAAGAGGTGGGACTGGTGAGTGTTGCATGTCAAAGATCGCTAACCATGATGTAGGCTTTCTCCTTGCAATCGGGAGTCTTGAAGGACAGTAGCATTTGTCCAGAGCACCTCTGACACCAGTAGTTCAAGCTGACACCATGGGGGATGCAGCATGCAGGGGACCCCACACAAAGAAGCAATGTGCCATCATGGGATGAGCCCTGGACAATCAGCGGGAGACCCAACTCTACCCTGAGCTCTTTGGGAACTGCAGCAGGTCATCCCCACGCTCTGAGACTGCGTTCCTCCTCAGTGAAATGAGGATTTTCTCTGGATGATTATGAAGGTCACTCCTAACTCTGCCTTCCAGCACCAGACAAAGAGCTACCCAGGCCCCTGAGGCCTGTTTGGGGGCTGGGGTCTGCTTCCTTCACCTTTTGAAAGGAAATCCCCTGACCTCCCAGATCTAGTCTGCTGTGTGCTGGGGCCTGGAGCAGTCAGGCAGAGCAGACAGAGGAGGCCTGCTCCCTGCCCTCAGTGGCTCCCATCACCAGGCCCAGAACAGGGTTCCAAGGGCAGGGTGGAGCTGTGAGCCAGGCCAGCCCAGGCTTTTTTGGCTGGTGCATCTGGATAGAGCTTCAAGGGGCAGCAGCTGCTTCAAGTGAACTGGACTCTGAAGGCTGCACAGGAATTTGCCTGCTGGGGAAGAGGAGAGGGTGTTCTAGGTCAAGGGGAGAGAATGTTCAAAGCCAGTGGTGTATCAGAGACACGCAAGTTAGAAGAGTGGCTGGAGACTGGGGGTGAGTGAGTGTTCTCCAGGCACTCCCGAGGCTGCCTTGTATTGGACCACAAGAGCCCATTGTTAGATTTTCAGGAGCTTTAAGAGCCAGTCATGAGATGCAGTTATTACATCAGAAGCCACGATGGCAGCATTTATACCAGAAATCTCCAGACACTACCAATCAGTGGTTTGGTGATATTTTCTTTTTTGGAAGAGTCAGTTTACCAGCACATCACTGACATTCTCCCTTAGAAGGGCTCCCTGGAATGCCTGGGGAAGAAAACAACAGTTCCCTTTTTGTAAAGTTGTTCAGACCAACAAGGGCTGGGTTGCCTCTGAGAATTGCCTGATCCACCCACAGCTCTCTGCTCCCTGCAGGTCTCTGAGATGTCCTCTGAGAACCACCTGTTTTGTAACATCAAGGTAAGAGGGTCTGGCGGGTGGACGTGCCCTGTGCTGCAACCAGAGGAAAAGAAGCCCTAGGTACCCCAGTTCTCCAAGTCCCCAGCATCCAGAGAAGGGGACCAAACCCATCCCTTCGCAGGCGCTTGGTTCCATTCTCACCAGCTCTGCCTTCTCACATCCCAGGGCTCTCCCAGACTTGTGCTCTGAGCACAACAGTGGGGGCCACTTAGGCCCAGGTGACTGCCTGCATGTAACGGGGGGTGCTGAAGCCTTGGATTCCAGCTCTCCAGGCACCCAGCCCTCTTTCCTGCAACGCCCTCCCGTTCACAGTGCTACATCAGCGGCCCCTACGGAACCCCCACCCGCAGGATCTTTGCCTCTGAGCATGCGGTACTCATCGGGGCAGGCATCGGCATCACCCCTTTTGCCTCTATCCTACAGAGCATCATGTACCGGTGGGTGGACAGGCTGCCACCCCTGCCTGTCTCCTGGGACAGAGTCCCAAGAAGCACCCCACTTCTTCCCTCTCCCTTGCTCCTCCCTTCTCTCCTTTCACCCTGTTTTCTCTTTCCTCCCTGGTCCCTCCTCCCTCTCTCTTTTGGCTCTCAATCCTCCCCTTCCTCATAGGGCAGGCCCTGCCACCTCACCCTTTCCCCCCAACCTCTGTACTGTTTTTTGGTCTGAGAAGTCTCATATCCACCCCAAATTCAAAATCACTCATTGCCTCTCCTCAGGCACCAGAAGAGGAAGCACATTTGCCCCAGCTGCCAGCACTCCTGGATGGATAGCATCCAGGATGAGGACCTGAAGCTCCGCAAGGTAAGCACTGCCTCCTCCAGGCAGGCCTCTGGACCCTCTCCCCTGGAAATCTCCCTGACCTGAGCGAGCTCTCCTGTGCAAATGCAGGGGAGGGACAGATGACTCTCCCTCCTGCTTGGAATGGCTGGTCCCTGTGCTTCCCTCAACACCCCGTGTTCTCCTCGTGCCTCCCATGTATCCAGGCCTCCACCCATCACCTCTGAGAGGCATTCTGGGACCTGAAGGTGGAGTTCCACTAAAGACCTTGGAACCTAAAAGTCAGGCAGCTGGGATCCAGTTATAACCTTGACATGTGCTAGCCATCACCTGGTGGTGGTTTAAAAAATGAAAATGTTTGCCTTTTGAAAATGCATTATTTCCTATAGGCCACTTAAAAGAGCTTGTAGGGGGAAAATAAATAATGTCCTTCTGCCTTCTTCCTAAGCTTAATATTTCAGCACACTGCTTGCTATTAACAAGAGGTTATTATAGAAAATCCTGACCTCCCAGTAAGGGACCTGGGTCCTGATTCCATGCTGCTCTGTGACCTGGGCAAGGTTCCTACCCCTGCAAACCTCCGTTTTCCCCTCCATTAAGTGGGGATGATAGCGTGTGCCCTGACCTCACAAGGGTGGTCATCTAGGTGCTGGGGATCTCAGATGTGAGCACGCCCTGAACGAGGAAGGGCCAACCCTAAACAGAAGGGCCTCTCTCCCCAGGTGGACTTCATCTGGATCAACCGAGACCAGCGGTCTTTTGAGTGGTTTGTGAGCTTGCTGACCAAGCTGGAGATGGACCAGGCCCAGATGACCCAAGAGGGTAGGAGAGGGACAGGGCCCGAGGAGGATGGCAGCAGGGTGGGGGTTTGGGCTCGGGGTTGGGGGGTGGTTTAAGACAGTGTTTAAATTATCCTATTTCTATCAAAAATCTGGGGGAGAGAGGAATGGTTTTTCTTCCACCCCTAAAATGTAACATTTACAAAACCAAAAAAAGAGGAGAAAAGTTATTCATAATCCCATCCAGCTATGCGAACTATTCCAGGCATTTTAAAGGATCTCCTGATGTTTTTTTCTTATTTACATTTACAAAAATATGTATCCTTTTTTTCTAATTTCCCTCTTTTGTGGTATTTCTTTTAATTCACAATGAGCACTTGAAAATTTATCTTTTTAAGATTTTCTATTTATTTATTTGACAGAGAGAGACAGCGAGGGAGGGAATATAAGCAGGGGGAGTGGGAGAGGGAGAGAAAGAAGCAGGCTTCTGGCTGAGCAGGGAGCCCGACGCAGGGCTTGATCGCAGGACCCTGGGTTCATGTCCTGAGCCGAAGGCAGACGTTTAGCGACTGAGCCACCCAGTTGCCCCCCACTTGATGAAAATTTAGATTCCTGAGCCTCATCCCAGACTTCCAAATCAGGATCTCTGAGAGCAGGGCCCAGGAACGTACATCTTATTATTGTTATTATTATTCATTTGAGAAAGAGAGAGAGAGCAGGGTGCAGAGGGAGAGGGAGAAGCAGACTCCTTGCTGAGCAAGAAGGCCAACGCAGAACTCGATCTCAGGCCCCTGGGACCATGACCTGAGCCAAAGGCAGCTGCTGACCTGACTGAGCCACCCAGGTGCCCCTCCCCAGGAATGTACATCAGATCACTCTTATTCACACTTTCTTTTTTTTTTTTTAAGCTTTTTTTAAGGGATAATTTACATAGGATAACATTCACCAATACAAGTTTACAGTAAATACAATGACATTACGACACATATGTACAACTGTGTAACCACCACCACAATCAAAACATGGAGCATTTCTATCACCATGCCCCCAAAGTTTGCTCATCCTCCTTTGCATCAACGCCCTGTCCCCTTTTGCAGCTCCCTGCAACATCTGATCTGCTTTCCATCACTATAGTTTTGCCTTTTCTAGAATCTCCAGTAAGTGGAATCATATGACAGTCACAGTTTTCTAACTTCTCTCACTTAACATAATAATTTGAGACTTACCCATGTTGCTGCAGGTATTAGAAAATAGTTAATTCCTTTGCTGTTTTGTGGATATACCACAATCTGCTTTGCCATTCACTTGTGAATAGATGTTAGAGTTATTTCCACTTTTTGGCCATTCAGAATAAAGCTGCTCTGCGTATGTGCACACAAGTCTTTGTGTGGACGTATTTGCTGGGTAGTGTGGTATGTGTCAAACCAGTTTTCCAATTTCTGTGTTTCCATCAGCAGTGGACGAGAGTTCCACAGTAGGTTTTCAACCTTGCCAACACTTGATCTCAGCAGTGTCTTTCATTTTAGCCATTCTAGTGGGTATGTAACAGTATCTCAGTGTGCTCTTAATTTGCATTTCCCTAACAACTAATGACAAAGATAGAAGTACTCCCTCAGACTCCCTGCTCAGCATGGAGCCTGACGCAGGGCTCATCTCAAGACCCTGAGATCACAACCTGAGCTGAAACCAAGAGTCGGATGCTCAACTGACTGAGCCACCCAGGTGCCCCTCCAGCATCAGTTTTTAATGTACATAATCTGCCAGTAAAGACGAACAGGTGAAGAGGCATAGGTAGTGATTGGGGCTGAATGCTCGGTATTTTTCCTGATGAGATGGCCATCCATAAGTGTAGAGAATGGTCTAAGGTACAGGTTAAACAGCTCAGCATGTACGAGTTACTTTCCTGTTTGGTCTCTTCTTTTATACTTTCACCAAAAATGAGTCTTGTGATTGTCCTTCTCCAGCCCCACAATCTTCCCCCTCCCTGCCCCCGAGTGTTGCTGCCTACGCTTTGGGCTAAGCCAAGGCTTAGTCTGTATGATGGCGTGTTTCTCTGGGTTTGTCATAGTCTTCACAGGACATTTTCATGGAACACTGAGGTTTTGTACTGTGTTTTAAAGTGAATCTGTTAGAATCATTGTTGTGTTTTACTTACAGAATAATTAATATGAGGAGGGATATTTTTAGGTATGTTTCTAACTTTAGAGAATTGGCAGGGGGTGGGGTATTATGCTGGTTGAGTTCAGTGGAACCGAATCTTGTTTGGCTATTTAATTATCCTAAGGCTGCCACGAGTGAATTAAAATTCCATGATAAATAGTTTATAAGTTCAAGTAATCAAACATGTTTTTTTTAATAAGAAACATTCAAACAGATGTAGTTTAGAGTAACAGACATTCAAAGCCCTAAAGCGCAAGTCAACATGTTTGACACAGAATTGGTAAATTCTAGAATGTTTCAATGAAGCTCTTCGCCTTTTCTTGTAAATAACAATTATAGCAAATATTTATAGAGCCTCAAATTCATTCTCAATGCTTTTATGTATATTAACTTATTAGAAACTCAATTTTACTAGGACAAGCTAGGGGGGAAGTTTAGATTTCATTTAAATTTCCTGGTTACTGGTATATAAATATTTGCTATTTGCTTCTTCGTAATCTGTGTAAACAAAGGATAACAGCAAACCTGGTGCTTTGTAGTCCCAAAGCCACTTGAGTCAACAACTTTATTACCTCAAATTTCTTCCAGGGTTTTTCATTAACTACAACAGAAACCCGTGACTTCTGATTTCAACTCTAATTATTTACCAAGGTTTGAGTTCAAGAATCTGTGGCTTATTGCTTTTAATTTCTACAGCTTAAGCTTCAAATATTCTGTTTGAGTTTGAATCTTTATTCTATCCCATAGTAACTCTCAAAACTTGGGGACATTATTTAACTGCTTTGCTTTGATTTCCTCGTGCTAAAAATATGGATGGAGCTAGTACCCACCTCACAGGGTTGTCATGAGGAGTCAACGAGATCATCTGTGTGGCACATGGAACTGGAGCTTAATAACTGCTCAGTAAAGTAAGCAGCAGCAGAAGTAATTGTAATAGTAGCAGTAGTAGCAATCGTAGTAGCAGCAGCTGTAGTAGCAATGGTAGTAGTAGTAATAGTAGTAGTGGCAGTACTAGCAATAGTAGTAGCAGTAGTAATATAAGTAGTAATGGTAGTAGTAGCAGTAGTACCAATAGTAGTAGCAGTAGTGGCAATAGTAATAGCTGTAGTAGCTATAGTAGTAGTAGCTATAGTGGTAATAGTCATAGTAGAGTAGCTATAGTAGAAATAGTAGCAATAGTAGCATTAGCAGCAGTAGTAGTAATAATCATAGTAGCAATAGCTGTAGTAACAATAGTAGCAGCAGCAGTTATAACAGTAGTTGTAGTAGCACTAGTAGTAATGGTGGTAGTAGGTGTAGTAGCAATAGTCAGAGTAGCAGTAGTCATAGTCATCATAGTAGCTATAGTAGCAATAGCATTAGCATTAGTAGCAGCAGTAGTAATAGTAGCAGTAGCAGTAGTAGTAATTAAAATCAAAGTAGTGGTAGCTGTAGTAGCAATGGTAGTAGTAGCAGTATTTAGTAGTAGTAGTATTGAAGTAGTAGTAGTATCAGCAGTATTTAATATAGTAGTAGTAGTAGTAGTAGTAGTATTTAATTAAGTAGTAGTGGTATTTAATGGCTCTACAATGAATGATATGTCAGTGGTCCACCATGCTCCTGCTACTGGACAATGTAAATTTGTTCTGATTCTCCACTATCATATATAAAGCTGCAATTAATATATTTGTGTACATAGTTTATTTCCTTCTTTTGGATGATTCCTTTAAGAGAGTGTCCCAGAGATGGAATGACTATCTCAAACACAACAGTTCTGGCAGGGGTGGAAACCATGTTGGGTCATTCTCCAGAGCTCCTTCTTCTCCCTCTTACCACAGTGTCGTTCTCCCTGGCCCCCTCTCTGGGGTTAAGGATTCTGAGGAAGGGGAAGAAGGGTCAGGGCTCTCTCAAGTTAAGTGGTATGTGAAACAAAATATATTCTCCCTCCTAGGGTCATTTGCATTTTAACAGTGACTGAGACCTCAAGCCAAAGGAAAAGGGAGCTAATGGCAACATATGAAACAATAGAGGGCCAGCCGGGATGGCAGGGATCCTTTAGTCTTGGGAGAGGAGAAGGATGGAGTGATCATCCGCTCACAGCCCCAATGTCCCAGATCAGGCCCCGTCATCTCTGGCTTGGACCAATGCTCAAGTGGAGGATGGTATCGCCAGCCTCTTCCCTGTCGTGGCCCACGTGGAAAATGATACATTAGTCTGCCAGATCAGGGAAAATGGAGGAAACTGCTTGAGCACAGAGGTGCCTATCAGGGAGCTCAAATTGCCCTGTGAGCCAAAGGGATCAAGATCTTAGCAAACCCGTCCCACTACAGGCGTCCCACTGTGTCCAGGCCTGTGTCCCTCCCGCCCTCTGGCTCCCCTTCTGGGATGCTGTTCTCATCCTGCCACACCCCACTCTGATACCCACTACCTGCCCCCCATTTGCCAGCTGGGCATTCAAGGCCCTTTCCCTTCCAGCCTCAGTGTGCGTCCGGTCTCCTCTCTCCCATCTCCTTTTGCTCCCGTTCAAGGATCCTGTATTCTAGGTGGGCAGTCATGTCACTCCCCACAAACACCACATCTCTTCCAGCCTCTCACTCTTGGCTCACCTGCCCCCCCTCCTCAGGATGCCCTCCTTTCCCGCATCCCACCCTAGCTTTGAATTGTGCCCCTCTTCCGAGACCTGTCCCAATCCCCACAGTCCCAGAAAGCCCCTCGTCTGCCGCAGCCATTCTCTGTAGCTCAGTACCCTTTGCCACCTGACCCCCTCATTCAACCCTTGACCCTTTGGTCTCAGCTTTTCGGCCGTGCCTGGCCTGTGTCCCCAACCAAATGGAACAGACACCACGAGGTGTGACAGGGCATGAGCTTCGGAGCCCAAGGACTGCCATGCTCCCCTGGAATGCGTTTCCCCTTCGAGTCCTGAGGTGGCTGTGGGGTGCAGGCCGGACTGTGGATACAGTCACACTGTGCTCCTGGCTCAGAGCAGGCCCCGCTCCAGCAGTGGGCCAGCTTTCCTTCTAAAGCGCTGGTGGACCAAAGGTGTGAGCCCGGAGCCCTCATGGTCTCGCTCCAAGCCCCGGGGCCAGGGGCTGACATCATGCCTGGTCCCCATTACGGGCGCGAGCCCCTCAGTGCCACCTTTGCTTCCCACCACCCAGACCCCTTCCTGGAGCTGCACATGTATATGACCTCTGCACTGGGCAAGAATGACATGAAGGCCATTGGCCTGCAGATGGCCCTCGACCTCCTGGCCAAGAAGGAGAAGAAGGACTCCATCACAGGCCTCCAGACACGCACCCAGCCTGGGCGGCCCGACTGGAACAAGGTAAAGGCCAGCGACAGCCCCACTGCCTGCAGGGACCATTGGGGCAGAGAGCCTAAGGCAGTCGCTGGGAGCCTGGGGATGAGCAGCTGGGGACCGAGCATGAGGCCAGGGGCCAGGATCCAACCAAGATCACTGGCTGCATGACTGGATCTCTTTGTTCCATCATTGGGCTCAGTTTCCCCATCTGTTCCGCAAAGAAGTTAGTCAGTTTGACCTCTTAGGCCTCCCGCAACCCTGACTCCCTGGGAATCTGGGTCAGAAGTCCTGAGTAGATGGGGTCTTGGGAAAGCACCAAGTCCTATCCTTCTCAGTACAAATGGAAATACTGAGGCACAAAGGAACAAAAGTTTGCAGTCTTTATTTTGTTTCTTAGATTGGTTTTTAGATTCTCTTCCCCCTGAGTACTTGCCAGTCCGAGGGCCGTTAGTGTGAGGTATCAGAAGTTACTGCTTTTCAATCCATGGGCAATGATCACGCCAGAGAGTGAGGGAAGAGGACATCACTGGTGCTTGGGCACCAAGGAGGGCTTTTGGCAATGGCCTCCGTAAGCAGAATTTGGGGTGGGAAAGGGTCTTCACTGGGGGAATGGCCAGAGTTTAGGAAAGAGACATTTCAGTGGAGGCATGTGACCGGGGGAGGACTAGCGGGATGTCCGGGCAGTCAGGGTTCAGTGTGCCCACGGGGCCCTGTCGCTGTTCCCCCAACAGCACAGTCTCCCTGCGGATGTGCTCCGGGAATGGAGGGCCTGGGTCCTCTGGTCCAGCCCCTTCCTGGGGTCTGGGTCAGGTTAGGGGTAGAGTAAGTGGCCCCCCAAAAGAATGCATGTTGGACCCTGCGCTCTGAAGCCACGCAGCTGTGCCTTGGAGTTCCTCACGGGGACAGAGGGACATCGCTGCTGACCCATTATGTTGTCAGCCCCAGCTGGGTGTGTCCCTGAGCGGTTCCACAGGCTCACTGCCCTCCCTCTGCTCTCTCCTACCCCGTGTGGGCTCAGGTGTTCCAGAAGGTGGATGCTGCGAAGAAGGGCAAGGTGCAGGTCTTCTTCTGTGGCTCCCCAGCCCTGGCCAAGGTGCTCAAGGGCCACTGTGAGCAGTTCAGCTTCAAATTCTTCCAGGAGAACTTTTAGCCTCATCTCTCCCAGTTCTGCCCAACCCACACTGCCAGCCAGCTTGACCATATTGCTCTCATGCCCCACCGAGACCAGCCTCAGAGGACCCACTTTGTCCCACTCCACCCCCAGAGCAGGAGCGCCCAGGGGCAGATGGACTTCCTTCAAGACCCCGGGAAAAGTGCGGTGCATTCTGGGATTGCTGAGAAACTGACCAAGTCAGAGGCCAGCGGCTCCAGAAAGAAGTGCAGAGGGGGCTTCCCAGGCCACTGCCCCTCCAAAAGTCCTATGAGGGAGGCTTCCCCTACAACAGTGGTCCCACACCTGCTTAATCACAACAATCATTCGGGATTTTATCCCGACATTTTTTAATGAAAATTTTCAAACATAAAGATAACTAAAAGAATTGTACAGTGGACAGTTACCCAGTTGCTGGATTTCTGTTAGCATTTTGTTTTATTTGCTTTTCTGCATATCTTCCATCTATCCCTCTCTCTATCCATCAGTGCCCCTTGTTTTTCTGATGCATTTTAGAGCATGTTTTGTCACTCCCTGCAGTGGAGAAGCTAAATAAGAGGGTGTTCTGGGGCGCCTGAGTGGCTCAGTGGGTTGAGCCTCTGCCTTCAGCTCAGGTCATGATCTTGGGGTCCTGGGATCGAGTCCCACATCGGGCTCTCTGCTCAGTGGGGAGCCTGCTTCCCCCTCTCTCTCTGCCTGTCTCTCTACTTGTGATCTCTGTCTCTGTCTCTCTCTCTGCACCAAATAAATAAATAAAATCTTAAAAAAAAAAAAAAAAAGAGGGTGTCCTGACTTAGGGTTTGGGTATGCATTGGGAATGCTCCAAAGTCATTTGGAAAGTTGGCAGAGCGGAGTCCGTTTAGCATAGGACTTCTCTGTCTCTCTGTCTGTCTCTCTCTCTCTGTTCACCTAGAATTTTGTATCACGCAGACAGTGGGAGCAGATAGAGGAACTTGAATACAGATTCTAAAATCCATTAAGGGTCCACATGTTTGACTTAGGATCACACGAGTCCTAAGGCTTTCTCGCCAGACATACTCCAGGTAGCCACTGGAGGGCGCTGCGGAATCAGAGGTCTTGGAGGTTTTGCTTGCTGGGAAGGAGACCGCTTCCTGAGCTGCAGTGAATCCAAGACCAGCCAGAGCAGACTGTGCCCCACCCTGAAGCCCTGGCTCTAGGCAACACCTCGAGGCCCAGACGTGGGTGGTCTGTGAAGTCAAGAGAATTCGTTTTCAAGATCAGAGTCCTCTAGCTGCCGTTCCCTAACAGCCCCTCACAGATGCACATACAGACCCTCTCCCTACCATGCACCACCCCCATCCCTCCCTCCCTGGACCCACTCTCCAGATTCTGCGGCTTCCCAAGTTTCCATCTATAAGGTCAGCATAGGCCTGGCTGAGCATAGGTCCAGGCTCTGCCCTGGGGCTCTGCCACCTCCTATCATTGGAGGTGCAGGATCAAATGTGGGTCTGTCCATCTGGATATTGCCTGGATGTCCAGATGGGGGCCCTCCCACCATCAACAAGAAACAAACGCATCCGTATGGCTGACTGACTTTCCTCCTTAGACATTTGTGGGTCTAAGAGGGCTAAGGAGGGCACACAGAAAAGGAACAGAAGGAACACAGGCTAACTACAGATAAAAGGTGCATTAGGTGAGTGTGAGCTCCCCGCACTGTCAGCTCCCCACAGCCAGGCCTGCAGCCCCAGAATCTAGCACAGAGGGAGCGGCAGTAGGCCTACCCCGCATGTCGACTCCCACAAGGCACAGGTCCTACTTAACTGGAATGATCCTTGGGAAGGAAAGGTCCTCTACACCTAGCCGTCATTTTAATCTGGGAAACCAAGGCGTGAACTCGAGCCCACTGAAGGAATCCCTTGGCCAGGCTCCACGAGGCTGCTCTGCTCTGAGGACAGCTCTGACAGAGACAGCAGGTGCTCCTGTAGCCCTGAGTCAGGCCCACCCAGACCAACAACACACCAAGAGCCCACGAGCGTTCTCGGGAGGGGAGGGGAGGATGACAACCAGTGGCAATGGTGCGAGGTGTCACAGCCTGGCAGAGTCAAGATTAGGGAGGGATTAGAGACAAGACTGGCAGTGGGCGAACACCTTGGAGATGTGTGGAGAAAGGACCTTTGCTCTCTGAAATCAGGGCACTGGCTGCCAAGTTTGCCTCTGTCCCAGTCAGCGTGTGACCTTGAGTCTGCCCTGGGACCTCTCTGAGCTGTCGCTTCCTCACCTGCAGGATGAACAGATGAAGGATGAATATTTTTAAGTGCTGGTATATGCATAATCCTTTCTTAAGAAATACGCAAAAAATATATGTTTGCTTTGGGGAGTGGGAATGGAGGGACAGGGAAAGGGTATTGTTTGAGGTTTGTTTTTGTGGGTTTTTTTTTTCCTTTTTATCTTCTACCCCTCTGTAAAGCTTGAAGTTTTTAATGATAAATGGCTGTAGATTTTATAGATTTTTAAAAAGGATATTAAGTAAAAGGAAAAAGAAAAAAACCTCACATAACCCAAAATAAACGACACGTGTATATAGAGCAAGGGAAAAATTGGTAGAAATGCATTGGAAGACAGGAAACACACCAAATGTTCCCAGTGGTCAATGGTGGAAAAAGTAAAGGAGGACTTTCACACGTTCCTCTTTTATTTTGCGCATTCATGTATTACCTTGTAATGTTTCACCTTATGGTATAGGAATTTTACCCCCGGCTCTTCAGGAATTGCTTGTGTGATTCTTTTCCCTCCTAATCTATGTCCTTAGGTTAAGGCCTATATAGTTTTGTGTTTGTTTTTTCAAGAATAAATAAAATAGAGAGATTTGAAGTACCATTAAAATCCTGGATACTGATGAGGTCCCAAATTAAAGTGTCTGGGACACGGCTGGGCAGTGGGACTGGCCTCTCCAGCTGGGGGCGCTGCTGGGCCTCTGCTGAAAAGGGAGGTAGCTGCGTGCAGGGATTCAGTGTGCCAGCCGGTGGGTCCCAGCCGGTCTAAGGAATAAACCTGGTCCGCACAGACTGCAGGGGCCCCAGGCACGCAGGAGAAGCTGCCTGCACGGGGCTGGGCGCAGCAACAGCCCAGCCTCACAGGCCAGATGCTGAGGACTGGTGCGCTGGGAGCTGGGAGGCTGGGGGGTCGGGGAGTCAGGGGGAGGGGGGCACTGTTTCTGCTAAACAAACACTCATCGTAACCAGCCTTCTGACAGATTGATGCATCTTTTTATGATCTGTCTTTACAATATGATGACTCTCTCCTTTTAAAAATAAGATTAATTCAGACAAGACATTTATTTTACGGGGAAATCCATCCCAGGGGGAAAAATACTCAAGCTGACTGGCGGAGATGGCTGGAAGGAGACTTGACTGCAGCTTCCAGCTTCCCAACCCGAGCCCTGTGGAATCGGCCCCAAGTGGGCTCCCTGCTCCCGCCCACGGACCAATGGGGTCATCTTGAACAATCCCACTTGAGTGAGTGTAGCCTGCTGGAGAAAACAAAATAAAGAAAAATACGTAGTGAGTTTCTGTGTGGCAGGCGAGAAAAGGGTACAGTTTTTGCTAAAGAAGTTCTGAGATGCACGCAAATGTGGAGGGATACGAGTTTTGTATATAAATTAAGCTTGTCTTTAAATGCCCCTGAAGAGCGTTCAGGAGACATGAATGATTTCGTCTCTGTGTCTCTGGGACTGGAAAAACGCTATCACCTGGCAGGCGCTTGGCCGTATGTCATGAATGTTTCTGTGGCTATGGTCCCTGTTTCAGCTGTTGTCACTGCTAGGTAGCATTGCCTCTTCTATGTCCCCCATCCTTCACCCCCAGCCAATCACCAAGCCCAGTCCACGACATTCTACATGTTTCTCACATCCATTCCCTCCCCCGCTGGCGCTGCCCAGGTTCATTCCTCCGACAGCCTTTTTTGCCTGGACTCTTGCAGCAGCCTCCTGGCTGGTTTCCCTGCCTCCAGCCTCCCCCAGCCACTCCACCCCTTCCTCCCCCCTCCAACTGTTGCAGATCTAATCACACATCTTCCTGTTGGATAACTGTCCTTTTGCGGTAGTCCAAGCCCTGTAACAGGCACACGGGCCTCTCCCATAAGCTAGGCACTCGGTTAAGATCTGCAGCCCCGTTATCATTGGCTCTTCCCGACCTCTTGCGTCTTGCCAATGGCCATATCCCTCTCTGCGCTCTGAAAATACCATGTAGCAGAACTCCTTCCAGACAAACCACCTTCAGGCCTTGGCCTCTGTAGACGTGCAGAGCACCCTTCCCCACCTTCAGGCTGAAGTTCCAGAACATTTCCTCACCAGCCCATCTGTGAAGCCAGCCTCGCCTGGTCCCTCTCGTCACAGAAAGAACAGCGTCCTCTGTATGATGGCTTGGGACCTACTTCTGCTTGGGCATCTTCTGTAGGTACTTACCTATTTACTAGCCTGGCGACCCCTTCGAGGGCAGGAACAGAGTCTGTCTGTCTGTCTTTTGGCACCTGGTATGTAGCAGATGATCAGCGAAGGCGTTGGTAAGCTGACAGGACCCCCTTGCACCCCCATCTCTCCTTCCTTTCCCTGCCCTTGTTCCCGCTCCCCCTCGAGGCTGGGAAAACCCTGATATCCTTGCAGGCAGGCAGGATCTGTCCTGTGAGTAGAGCCGGCCTCCCCCACCTTCCCTACCTGCCATGCTGGCTCTCCTCCTGTGGGCGGAGGTCAGGTGCAATAGAGACGTCCTAGAGGCAGAGAGGCCCATGTGTCCAGCCCCTCCATGAGACAGGGAGGTGGGGCTCATGGTCTCCTGCACCTGTGACCCCTCCCTCCTCTTCTTCCTCTTTTCTTTCTGTACCTCAAAAGAGATGAATGACTTAGAAAGAGCAAATGAATCAGAAATAGGATGAGCAAAAAAAAAAAAAAAAAAAAAAAAGAGGGTAATTTTGCCAAGTTATTATTCAAAGGCACTCTTGGAGACCCAGAACAGGAGCAGCCCCATCAATCACCCCGCAGAGCCACGCAGGCCAGTGGGAGGAGTGGCCTTGCTGTCTGCAGCAGGATCTATGTGAGGGAGCAGGTGCCTGAGCGTGCAGCCAGGCCAGGAGCCTGGGACCCTCTGCCAGCCATCACAGGGGGAGAAAGGGAGGCCAGAGGGACACTGAAAGGGGTCAGCCAACCATAAGACCCAGGACAAGGTCCACTGGCAGCTCTTTTCTCAGCAGAGACCAGAGCCCCACAGGCTGCACTCTGGAGGCAGCTCTGGAGAAAGTACCCACAGGGCAGAGGGGAGAGTTGGGGGATGGGGACAAGACTCTGGCCTGGGGCCTGCTCTCCTTGGTGGCTCCACCCAGGTCTTTGCTACCCTGGAGGGGGCAGCCACTGCCTCCTCCCACCAGAAGCGGGAGGGCCTACGTCCCTCTTAT